ATTACCATAACCTTTGGTCATCCCGGACAGACACTGTACCATGCACCCATTAAGGAGCAGCTCCATTCCCCGCAGCCCGTGGTAGCTTCTACTTTCTGTCTCTATGGATCTGATCATTTTAGATACTTCATATGAGTAGGGTCATATAATATTTTTCCTTTTGTACCTGGCTGTTTTACTCAGCATGATATTTTTAAGGTTCATCTGTGTAGTAGCATGTATCAAAATTCCAGCCCTTTTTCATAGAATATACATATATATATTTGAAATTAGTGGTTCAATAATAACTAGTAAATTCATCAATATTAAAACATATAGTTCGAAAGCACTTTTCAGTAAATTACAAATGGCTAAGAAATAGCTTTCTTCCATACTATTTTTCTGAAGATACACCTAAAAAATATTCAGATAATCCTCATTTAACAATCTCCCTATTTAATGACTGCTCAGACTTAGGATCAATGGGCAATGCATGGATTCATGATCCATTATTTTTGTACAGTTCTGTTCATCTTGTTTATAGAGCCTCAGTTTCTTTTTTGTATAGTACACCTTTTTATATGGTACTATAATTTTTGCTGATTGTACTATAAGGTACAGAACTATAGTTTTATGTTGTTTTACATTTCAGAACTGCATGTTAAGAGTTTTCCAAATAAAAGCAAAATCAAGTTGGGGTTTCCTTCGACCGTTTATTTGTTTTGAATTTTGTAATATACACACTATATACAACTCCTCATTTAGTGACCAATTTACTTAGCAACCTAGCTTCAGGAACTGACCTATCAGTCATTAAATAAGGAATGTCTGTATATATTATCATGACTTACTGGTTAAACTGATAAAGTTATAATCTCAGGCCTCAGGTTGTGGAGGCTACGGTGTCAAACCTAGGAAATATCTACTGTAGCCTAAAGTCCTATAAAAGAATAAATGTTTTTAAAGCATGTCGAATATCATATTAATCATAGTGATTGTCATAAAAGCTGACATCCCTTAAATGTTATTAAAATATGGAATTTAGAGTACATCCATAACTTTAGTTTTGGCTGGCTGACTACAGCTGGGTGGCAACATTTGACATTTAACCTACAGTTTTTATACCTGGGTAATAAACTTAAACCACACTGGCTTCATTTTGTGCCTTCTAATGTAGAAGATAGTTTTAAAACAATTAACTTGATGGCTGCTATTAAAATATTATGATTCAGAAAAATTCTTGTTCATTGTGTCATACCCCAAAAATAAAGTTATCAGGATAATCACAAGAGCTTATCATCATTTAGAAACTTCTGGCAATGTATCAACTGATTAAAGGTTAGCAATGCAAACACAGATCCTGTGGGTGTTTGCAGCAGTGCACGCAGGAACTCACACATCAGATCGTCCCTTTAGGGGGATGGAAAATTCCAGAATATATGAGGCAGCTAAACACAAGTAACAGCAACAAAATCCTTCCATGTGTCTCTTCTACAAGGCCTGTGAGCAGGGGGACACTCAAGTTATTACAGATAATTAACTATATAAAATAAAGACAAGTTACTCTTAAAGAGATGAGTGCCCTTGAACTCACAATAGAGGCCGCGTCCCTTTAGATGCACCTGGTTTTGTGGGTCATGCTCCCACAGTGTGACACACTTACAGGAAGACAGCGTGCCTGCCACAGCATCCAGTTATGGAGGTAACCCACTGTGGAAACTCAGCATTTCTTCCACAGAATAAAACGAAGGCTTTACTATCACTACTGCTTCCAGCAGAATCTCAGCCAGACTAGATGTCATCAGGTCTGAATTCAGCAGATTCCGATGCCGCTGTGAGACATCCTCTTCTTCCACATTACATAATATATACCAAGTTAGCTTCGCATAGTGAAAACAATGTGACTAGGAACACGACAACCCAGGTCTCTTCCCAGTCACCTTTCAGCTGGTATGAAGATGGGTGACTCGCCTATCCCAGATGGGACTGGTTGAACCACGGTAGACTAAAGCCAGAAGTGGCATCAAACACCAGAGTCACGATGTAAAAAGAAAAATAAGGAAACTAAGGTTCAAGAGATTAATGATTGGTCCCAGATCATAGAGTAGATAGTTGAAAAGCTGAACTGGAAGTTATTCGTGATAATTAAATAGACTGCTGCATTTGCATAGCAATTGCATGATACCATAAATGTTTTAGGCAAGAAACACTTTCAACTAATGGCAGGCATGAGTCACATTATCACCAGAGTGTCCCCCTCACTTAAAGACCTGGAGATCCCCTAATCAACTATTGTATTTTACAGATGAAATCCTAAAATCACAGCAAGTGGAGTGAGAACTGAGGTCTCTTTTTACTTTGGGGAAAGAAAGTTCTTTTATGTTTTAAAACTCTTTATAAATTATGAAGGGTTTGAAATGTAATTGGTGGAAGTTGAAATAAGCAATTACTGTGCATTGGGTCTGAGGGACTGCTGTAATTGTTTATTGTGTTTTTTTTAGTTTTTATTTTCATTACTGCATGTTTGCAGTACATAACGATGACCTTCAGCGTGGGGAGCTGGCACACCAGCATGACACATCTCCATTCTTTTTATGTCGGCTTCCCCTCCCCTTCCTCCCCCCTTGCTCCATCTCTGGGTCCCCTTGGAATGATGTAGCTTAATGATTCTTGTGGGCATTTTGATTTATGGTTGGTGTAGGGTGATGAAAGACTGGAATAGTGGCTGTTTTATGCCTAGATCTAAAGTTCAGGACTTAAATCCAGTAAAGAGATTTGGCTAGCTTTTGCAGTTGAAAAGGACTTCCTCGTGACATATATTGTGAGATGCGGGACAAAGGTACTTCCATTCTGGGTCTAAAGGTCTAAGTGCAGCATTGAGAATTGCACTCTGAACATTAATGTAAGTGTGACCCGCGCTGCTCACACAAGCGGGACTGATCCAAAGCAGTAAGACTATACACTAGCAGTAATGACACAACAGAGAGATATACCCTAACTTACAGAAAGTTTGATGTTTATACCTTGGGGTTATTTACCAACATGAGTCACATTATCACCAGAGTGTCCCCCTCACTTAAAGACCTGGAGATCCCCTAATCAACTATTGTATTTTACAGATGAAATCCTAAAATCACAGCAACTGGAGTGAGAACTGAGGTCTCTTTTTACTTTGGGGAAAGAAAGTTCTTTTATGTTTTAAAACTCTTTATAAATTATGAAGGGTTTGAAATGTAATTGGTGGAAGTTGAAATAAGCAATTATTGTGCATTGGGTCTGAGGGACTGCTGTAATTGTTTATTGTGGTTTTTTTTAGTTTTTATTTTCATTACTGCATGTTTGCAGTACATAACGATGACCTTCAGCGTGGGGAGCTGGCACACCAGCATGACACATCTCCATTCTTTTTATGTCGGCTTCCCCTCCCCTTCCTCCCCCCTTGCTCCATCTCTGGGTCCCCTTGGAATGATGTAGCTTAATGATTCTTGTGGGCATTTTGATTTATGGTTGGTGTAGGGTGATGAAAGACTGGAATAGTGGCTGTTTTATGCCTAGATCTAAAGTTCAGGACTTAAATCCAGTAAAGAGATTTGGCTAGCTTTTGCAGTTGAAAAGGACTTCCTCGTGACATATATTGTGAGATGCGGGACAAAGGTACTTCCATTCTGGGTCTAAAGGTCTAAGTGCAGCATTGAGAATTGCACTCTGAACATTAATGTAAGTGTGACCCGCGCTGCTCACACAAGCGGGACTGATCCAAAGCAGTAAGACTATACACTAGCAGTAATGAAACAACAGAGAGATATACCCTAACTTACAGAAAGTTTGATGTTTATACCTTGGGGTTATTTACCAGACTAACCTTAATGTATACTTTGCAGACTAACCTTAATATATTTACCATCTGTGCTATTGCCAAATCAATATTGGTTAAATAAAACTCTTACCACGTAGGTCTATTTTCCAGAATCCTTCAGGTCCCTCCCCTGTGCATATGAGATGAATTTTTTGTGGCTTCTGTTTGTTGTATTATCCCAAAATACCGTAATTATCCCAAAATACCTTGCTAATGCAAGGCCTTGCAATAAGTCTTCTTTGTCATGATCCTAATGATTGATGAGTTTACCTGACATTAGAGGAGCCTTGTTCCCTGAAAAGAACAGTCAGATATAATACACCATTAAGATAATAGTTGGAGGGGCTGGGGATTTAGCTCAGCAGTTCGGTGGCCTGCCTTGCAAGCGCAAGGACCCGAGTTCAATCCCCAGTACCAAAACAAAACAAAGATAATAGTTGATATTTATCCTTGTCTTTTCTTCTAAAACCTTAAGATTGTTGAAAAATGCAAAATAGTACAGTGTTGATCCGTGTGTATGTGTATGTGTTGAAATTTCTCCCCAAATTTTTCCATCAGGCTACTTAGACTCACCCAATCCCCAGTTTAAATTCTAGAACCCTTAACTGCTGAGGGAATCAGTTTTCCCCGCAGCCACGTTCCGCGCACACAGTTAAGGACAAAATAATCAGAGGAAGCTCTGTTCAGAGAGAAAGGAAATATATTGAAAACTGCTCCGTTTCTGTTCTATAGTAGGAAGAACTAAATCACGACTCCATTCTAAACCTCCCGAAAAACATAAGCACTTTGCACTCCTACTTTGTTATTGAGTTCGTTCGTACCAGTTACTCACACGATGCGGTCACCACCTTGGTGGAAACATGACCGGATTCCAAGTGCGAGGAGAGAGTCCTCCTCTTCAGCGAGAGGTGCACCGGATTCCATCTCAAAGCTACTTACACGGTAAGTGTGGAGACGAAACTTACCGAGCCGAGGTCTACGATGAAGCAGTCGCCCTTGTTGAAACTGTCCCAGCTGAGACCAGTTACTCACACGATGCGGTCACCACCTTGGTGGAAACATGACCGGATTCCAAGTGCGAGGAGAGAGTCCTCCTCTTCAGCGAGAGGTGCACCGGATTCCATCTCAAAGCTACTTACACGGTAAGTGTGGAGACGAAACTTACCGAGCCGAGGTCTACGATGAAGCAGTCGCCCTTGTTGAAACTGTCCCAGCTGAGGGGAACTTCAGTGGCCCTGACCACTCTGCGCCCCTTCACATGCAGAAGCCTCTGGGCCGAGAGGTCGTTGGTGAGAACGTGGTTGAGTCCCGACGCCACACCTCCAGCCTGACCGCGGGAGGAAGACAGAACAGAGAGGACATCCATGAGGCATGGCCAGGGGTCAGCAACAGCTGTGTGTGCCCCAGTTGGGCCTGAAACTCCAAAATAAACAGCACCTGAGCGCCTGACAGAAGTGAAATACGGGGAGAGAATTCCTTGGTAAATCAACAGGGTTGTTTCTTTGTTCTCTGCTTGGTCTCTTTCTTTTAGCATTTCAGTTTCAAACTGTGAGGGCCTTCAGAGGAGAAAACCTTAATGCATAAACAAACGAACGAACAAACAAATGAAAGAGCCACAGCTCTTGCCTTTTGGGAACTAGTGATTCGCAAAGCTTAATGCGTGAGAAAGCAGGCAAGGATTTTAGGGAAGAGGACAGGAGGGGGGAAAATCAAAGGTAACAAGCACAGGTGACAGCAGCAGAGGACGGGGCAGCCGGCGTTCCCACTGTCACGCTTTGGACAGAAGGGCCGTGCACAGCTGGCAAAGGAAGGGTTTCTCTTATGGAGGGTGTTTGAGTTTACTTTGTTTTCTGGTAAACAGAGTTTATCAAACATGCTGGGACTAGGCAGTTTTAGCTTAAGTGAGGATAGATGCGGTACCTGACTGCACATCCCAAACTGGGGTGGAGGGTGGGACCGCCCTGTTGATTATCCCCAAAGCAGTCTGTGAGCAGTGCAGGCTGTGAAGAGTTAACCCCGCAATTGGGTTGCTTTGAGAATTGAGTCTGACCAAAGCCTGCATGACCAGATAACGGGGCAGCCAAGGTCAGAGTGACTCACACCTAAATTCCATTTCCAAAATTAAGAATGCTTTGTCCCTTTTCTTACAAGCCTTGCCTGCCTCAGCAATGTATCCCTAGCAACTATGCGTGGCCCTCTTGCCTGATCCTAGGATGTCACCAGTAAATATCAGTGGTTTTGGATGGCCCGGGTCTTTTGCTGCTGGCTCAGCATTGGCCATCCTGGCTCCTCATTTCTCTCTTTAATTCTGTCTTTAAATTTTTCTTCTTGCATGTCATCGTAACACTGGCCAGGAGATCAGAACCAGCCATGCAAGTCTCTAGTAACAAAACGAAACAGAACAAAGTAAAACAAATGCAATAGCATTGAATCAAGGAGATGCCGAAGAAAGAAGTTATCTGTATCAACTACATCTGCTTGCACTATCTTGATATTTTACCTTTTTATAGGCTTTTAATGAAATGTTAGTAACTGTTTACTTGCATAATAAATTATGGAGTACTTTGCATAACTAAGAGGCAATGTAAACAAAACTCTGTCATTGATCAACAAAAGACCTCCTAAAATAATGGTATTAAGTAATCCATAGAATAGTTTGACTTTCAAGTTTATTACACAAACATGTACAGTGAATCCAAAATAATGGGTTAAGCTACATAGGTAACCGATAGCACATTCTTTATTTTTACCTTGACTTTAAATTTCTACATTATCCAGGAAAAGGCTTCTATAAATAGAATAGGCTAACTGTTGATTCAGCATAATTATAACCTCAATTTTCAAGAAATATAGGCACTCATTTAATGACTTAGTTATGTTTCTGCAACTGGGCCATTAAATGAATTGGTCATTAAATGAGGAACTGTATATAGTGTGTACGTTATAAGACTCAGAACAAAAAAAATGGTCAAAGGAAACTCCAACTTGACAGCCTTGCTTTCATTTGTGTAACTCTTATGAAATACTGTGATGTATAATAGAACGTACAACTACAGTACTCTGCAGTACAATCAGCAAGACTTACAATACTGTATAAACAAGGTGTACTGAACCAAAAAAAAAGACAAGTATGCACTATCAACAAGGTGTACGGAACTGTACAAAAAACAAAGATGGGTCATAAATCTCAGGGGTGGGTTGCAAGTCCAAACAGACGCTTCAGTTGCAAGTCAAAACAGTTGTTAAATGAAGGTCTAGGTCATTAAATGAAGGATATCTATATAATTCCCAGCCCATAACTTTGCACAGATTACCACATTTCTTATTTGAATAAAGTAAGTATTATGCAATAAAATAAATACAGGTTTCCATCCATACACTACTGTTTGGAGCCATTTTTTATTTTTTTAATTAATAGAAATATGTTATGATCTGATTTTTTAAAAACAGTAAATAGTGTGATCTTAAAAGGTTATAAAATAGAGTATGCTTAACGGTCAAGCTGTTCCCACACATAGATCTATCAGAGTGATATATAGTCAGAAAAATTAGCATTATTCTAAAAGTAATTTTGTCTCTAATGTTTAATGCCAAAATGCACAAAGGAAAAACTGTATGTTGCACATACATGTCTGCATCAGACAGTAAATAGTTCTTCCATATATCCTGTGAATTAGCACTAGAAACTTCCAGCTTTTCTCTACTTTCACAAGGCAAGATCTTGAAAAAAAGTGGATAATCCTGGGAACCAGCGGCACCATAAGCACAGTTTTGCCAGCTGACAAATGTCTCATGGTCACTGCCTACCACACTAGCTGAAGACAAGGTCTTGTTGAGCTTGCGAAGAGTATATTAGAAAGAAATTTAACATAAGGGAGCAGTGTAAGTATCAATCCTCTGTCACTGCTACCAAGCTCTCAAAGACGTCAGAGAGAAATGACAGACATCGCCCAAAATGAGACAGGAAGATGACCTGTTTCCTGTCTGAATCTTGGCATCTGGCAGTTTAATCTGATGTTTGCAGACTTGCTAATGGCAGAGTTTGTCAAGTTTGGTCCACTCCAAATAAACTATTCCAGACAGTAAAGTTAAAATTAAAATTCTGTCCTGACATATGAATCATTTATTTATGTTAAGAGCATCACAGAATAACAATTATCAATGTAGGCCCTGGAATCAGACAGTCACTCTGTCACTTACTAGCTTGAGGCCACTCCAAGCCTTACTTATCTTGAAAGAGTAATAATGACAGAAACCGAATGAATGTCTATATTAAATGTGATAATACATGTGAAGTTATTAACATGTCCCCATAAGCTTGAAGTTAATACATGTATGGGGATGAAATTCAGTATACTATATTCATTTTTCTATCGTGTATGATAATTTATCTCTTTCTCCGTATTTCCTCTCAAGTATTGTTGCAACCACAAACATTCACACTGTACAATGTCACTAATGATAAGATAGCCAACTGATTGTCTTGCTATAAATAGCAATCTCCAATAGCAATTCACAATCTCCATTTGTGAATACCCTTTCTGAAAAACGTTGATTGTGATCTGAAAAACGTTGATTGTGAAAAATGTTTATAGCCAAACGTTGTTTGATTTGTGGTGATCTTAATGTCAGTAATTAGGACACAATTCTCCAATAACTGTGAAATTACTATTTATCATGTCCATTTTTAAATATGCTTCCAGAAGTTTGATTTCAAGGGTCCTGCTAATAGCCAGCAGGATTAATAATGTAAGTCCTTACTGATTATGTACTGTATAGGTCTTTTATTATTAAATCTGATCCTTAATCCTTATAATAGCTGTTATATTTACAAATTATACATTTGAGGAAATCAAGACAGAAAGTAAGTACCTGCCCTAAGGCAAAGAGGTTACATATAGAAAAAAATGGGTTCCTGACTAGGACTACACCACAGTGTCTGCTCTTACATAAGGATAAGCAATTGCTCATTTAAAATGTTAGGTTCATTCACAAGAAGGAAGTTTTTGGATCACTTGACATAAACCAGAGGAACTCATGCGCACAGATGTTTAGAATGGTTTGCATCCTGATGTGAGATAAAAATTTCAAGAGAGACAGGAGAATTTACACTTGTTTTGTCCTGATTTCAATGGAATCAAAAAATAGTCAATCAAGGATCTGACAGATAAAGGTAGAAACAAACAGTCATCTCGGCAGGCAAGTTAATAGGTACTCAGAATGCAGTTTAGTTGTGAGGCTTTGGGCATTCAGAGGGGTGTGCAGGGCACCTGCTAGAGCAGGTTTGCTTCTGAGAAGGCTGGGGTGTGGAGGGGCTGCCCATGCTCTCCCTAAATACTCGCAGCCGGGAGTGAGGCTGGTCTGTAACACACTCAGGGAAAATTCCAGAAAGACCAACTCTCCTTTGCTGAAAGGGGGAGAACTATCCAGTCACTCGTGTTAGCTCATCATGTTCAGACGTGGTGCCGATGGATTGGTGATTCGGCCCGTCCACATAACCGTGGGGCTCCCGTGTGAGTATGTGCATCTCAGTCTGTGTGGCTGAACCTTCAGCGCGGTGGTTTCCTTAGTGTCTGGACCACACTGTTGGGTATATGTGTACAGTTCTTTGTAGGAACTGACATGATAATTGCCGTGAACGCTGTGCTAAGTATTCCAAAGCAGTGGAGATTCTGAAAGCTTGGCTTACTGGCAGAAAACTCAGAGACTCTCCAGAATAGCAGAAATGAAAACTGCTAAGACTCCGGTAAACAAAGTTAGTCGTTATTTATTTAATACTTTAATCATAATTTAAAGAGCAAAATAAAAGGAAACAGGGAGATACATAGACTTTTTTCAAATTAGAGGAGACCAAGAGATGATGGGAGAAGAAAAGAGGGGCAGGGTGATATATGCACACCCATGTTTATAGCGGCACAGTTTGTAGCGGCTGAAACTTGGAAACAGCCCAGTCACTCAACACCCGGAAAATAAAATAAAATAAAAATGCTAAGTAGTAAAATAACAACAATATATTAAAAGGTTTTCTGGTGAAGACAAAACCAAAAACCAGCCTATCAAAATAAGTCAGAATGTTTAGGTACTGTATCTCCAGCAGGCAGTGGGGATGGAGCAGTGGACGAACTGATCAAAAAAAGACAGGACCAGGAAAAAGAAAATCCCAAAGGTACCCTCGCTACACTTTCATTCTCTGAAGACACAGGGGTGGTGAACAGCAGGACAAACTGAAACGGTCGCGGGGAAAGTGTCTCAGAAAGGCGCTTACCTTGTACTTCAGACCTCCCTTGAAGTAGCCCACGAAGTCTGTGGTCTCGAAGCCCTGGAGCTCCCTGCTCTGCACCGGCTTGCCCCCTAGGTAGTCGTCCATCTGGACAGTGAAGATGGCTGCGGCTGTGCTCTCATCCTGCGAACACTCCTTTCCTGCCAGGCAAAGGATAGCGCCTTGGTTATCAGGCAAGCAGCAACAGTAAGGCAGAATTCTTGACGTGAAGGAAATCGGGAGTCTTTTCAATTATGTATCACTACCACACATAGTCCTCTGCAAAATCTCTTTTAAAAGAATCAACATACAATATAAAATACTGTTTGGCAAATAACTAAAAACTGGATTTATTCCTTTTTCCAATTCCTTTAAAAAATTTTAAAGAAACTCTGCTGTCTGAATATGCTTATATTTTAGTATGACTCAGGAAAGCATTCCTTTGGTACAGTAAAAAAGATAGGAAAATATTTCGGAATTGGCTCAAGCTTTATTTGCATTAAACTTTAGGCTTCTAATAATTCACTGTGTTAATGTGGGTCATAATCAAAAGCTTCAGGAAATCAGGTGGTTTTTAAAATAAGAAATGAAAAGAACTTGAACTTATATTCGTGTTTTAGCCTGTTCCCATTTCACTATCTTACTACTTTGGTTTGTTCAGAAGGAAAAGATGGAATGAAGGATCTAGTACAGCAACATTTACTGAATGCTAATGTACCTGATATGGTCCCAGGAATTTAGCACACAATATACCCTCAATTTTCATAATTCTGAAGCAGATCCCATCCAGGCAGCTTCACTGGGGTAGAACAAGATGTTCTAAGAACCAGTGTCTGCAGGGTATGGATCAGGGGCAAGACCATCCCAAGGACTAAATTTTATCAAATTTGATTTGAAACTCTTCAAGAGCGTGGTGAGGCAGTGCACACCTGTAATCCCAGCCCTCGGGAGGATCACAGCAAGTTCAAGGCCATCCCAGACTACATAGCAAGCCTCTGTCTCAAAAACAACACAAAAAAATAGCTTCAAAATCTTTGCTACCTCGGAGCCGCACAAAAAACTCACAAAGCATTCTAGGAAGCTAATAGTTCATTGCACTGTTAGTGCCCCATAGTGGGCTACACACTGTGCTAGCATTTCACACTAACGCTTTTCAAGCAACCACATGAAGCAGAAGCTATTTTCTACCCTGTTACAAGACAGAAAAAAAAGAGGCTTACAAGGGCTGAGCAACTTTTCTGAGGCTAGAAGGCGACCTTTGGCAGAAAAAGACCCAGATGCAGGTTTGTGTGAGCACGAAGAGCAGACTCTTAAAGAAGTACAATATATCAGTAGATTCTTTTTTATACTACAATTCTCATTAGTAGTATAAAATCGTGTGGAAGTCAGGATATATTAATTCCCACAAGATAACTGATGCATAAAAGTTTAGAAAGTGCAACAATAATATAGTTCACCTCAACCACCCCAAGGAAGTATTCTACAATATCGAAGAAATCAGTGACCTATATTAAAGAAAGAATTCTGTTTCTTCACAATTCCCCACTCACACTGAATGGCAACTTATTCAAGGACCTTCTCAGGCAAAACTTTGGCAGCTAGAAGAGTATGAGATATGAGAATAATTTTGTCAGTTTCTGTGGTCAAAGGTCAGTGACACAAAATACACATATGCAAAGGGCTGGGGATTTAGCTTGGTGGTGCCACCACCTGCCTCGCAAGCATAAGGTCCTTAGTTCAATCCCACGTACAAAAAAAAGCAAAAATTGCGATTTTATACAGAGATGCTTTAGGAGAGAACTTTAAGTCAAGGTTAATAAAAAGGTGTCCACGATGATGTACTTGCCATATCTGCCACAAATATCCTCACCTCACTACAAGTTGAAACTCAAATCTTTTTACATAGATATAAATAGATAAGCAGAAACTTAATGAATGAATGGGAATAAATTAAATTATCCTCTCATTTGCTGTGTGTATATACATTGGTAGGCCACAGAAGATCAGTATGAATACCCCACAGTTCTTGCCCAAAGGCATTTGAAAGACCTGAATGAAGCCAATACCAGCCTTTGAATGTGAAAATTACCATCAGATTCTGCTGTATAATGATGAAATTCTACCAATTATTCAGAAATGTAGGAATTCCGTATGAAATTCTGCTGGTGACTTCCTTTGGTTTTCCCCCCTGTGAATTCTATTATGACTTCATTTGTTGTTTCCCTAAGCTAATTTTACCAGTTGTGTTATATTATGTTGTATTATTTTATATTGATATGTTGTTATACTTGTATATGTGTGTAAACCTTATAAATGGGGGGGCATGTGAGGACTCTGTATCCAAAACATACATGAAAAGAGAGGTTTAAACCTAGGTTACTCCAAGACAGTGAGCACTTCAGGAATAAGAGTAGTATCTACAAGTAGCATCTACAAAGAATACAGAGCTAACATAACACTTACATTTTCCTCATAAGATCAAGAGCAATAGCAATCATATCCACATTCACCATTCACTGAGCACAGCACAGGAAATTCTAACCACCACACAACAATACGGTAAGAAAAGAAACAAAGAGCATGCAGATTGGAAATGAAGAAATAAAAACTGTCTCAATTTAGTGATCACAGGATTGTCTGCAAAGTAAATTCTAAGGAATCTACAAAAACCCTCCTGGAAGGGTCGGGGATTTAGTTCAGTGGCACCGTGCCTGCCTCTCAAGCAGAAGGTCCTGAGTTTGATCCTCAATACTTTTAAAAAGAAAAAACCTCCTGGAATTAGCAAGTACATTCGGCAAGGATACAAGATAAGTCAATTAAAAAATGGTCATGCTTGTACATAGAAACAATGAAAACACAGAAGCTAAAATTTTAAATGTAATGCTATTTATAATTGCTATAAAGAAAATGAAGTATTCAGGCATATATTTATCAAAACACATATGGTATCCATCTGATTAAAATTACAAATTGGTAATAAAGAGAAAAAAGAAGACTAAAATGTAAAGCACAATGTCCTTGTATGAGAAGGTTCAACAGAAGAAGGATGTCAGTTCTCACCAATTGATCTATAGTCCTAAAGCTATTCTTATTAAAATCATAGGACATCTTATGATAGACATATACAAATAAATGAAATGTATATGGAAAGACGCAGGCCCTGGCATAACTAAAGCACTCCTGGCAAAGGCACCTAAGGAAGGAAGCATCACTCTTTCTGTTATGAGGGCTTCCTATCAGCTACCGTAATAAAGCTTGGGTGGTATCAGCAAACAGACACACAGACCAACAGGCCCAGTTTCCCTCACCATGACGTCTCATAAAGCTGCAGTGTGATTCAGTGCTCTGTAGTGTACTAAGTTCCACACGTATGGGTACCGTTTTGCGTGGAATCTCACGGTGAGGGTATTCATACCAACAAATTCCAGCTCTCTGGTTCACACCTCCCCAGGTTTACATGTACTCGCTGATGTGTGGGTACAGAATTTAGTTGTACAGAATTTTACACGTGTGCAAATTCATAAATCTGCCCTAACTGAAGTCAAGATACTGTAGAGTTCCACCGCCAGAGAGATCTCTTGCCTTGTCCTTCAGTACACTCCACCTGACTCCTAACTGCTCCACCTCCTCCCTATCTATCTCTAACCTCTGGCGACAAATCTGAAGTTGTTCCACTTCAGAGCTAGTGTATAGATGGAATCCTACAACACATTTTGGCCCTTTTGTAAAACTCAACATAATTCCCTGGGGAGATTCACCCCACTTGGAAATCTGTAGTTGGATCCCTTTCATTGCTGAATAATACATTTGCTATGAGCAATTATGCATAGGTATATATGTATGGAAATAAATATTCATTTCTCTGGAATGAATCGCCATTAATGAAATTTGTGGGTTGTATGGTAGTTGCATATTTAATTTTGTCCCTTTTTTCTTGTTTTGTTTTGTTTTTTTAGATAAGGTCTTGCTATGTAGTTCTAGCTGGTCTTGAGCTCACTATGTAGCCTAAGCTGACCTCGAATTCATGGTGATCCCTCCTGCTTCACCCTCCCAAGTGCTGGGATTACAGGCATGTGGCACCAAACCTGACCACGTGTTTAATTTTGTAAGCAACTGCCGAACTCTTTTCCAGAGTGCTCTAACATTTACATGTACCACCACCCCACAGCCCCAGCAATGTTAGTTATCCAGTTTCTCAGCATCCTCACTCACTTTTATATGGGTTGTGTTGTATATTATAATCAATCCCCAATGCCTTGCACAAGACCTAACCCAGACTAGTCATAATATACATGTGTGTTGCTTCAACATATATTTGTAGAAAGTTTAAAAGTGGCAAGGAGAAGACCTGGGGATTTAGCTCAGTGGTGCTGTGCTTGCTTGGCAAGCACAAGGTCCTGAGTGTGACTCCCCGTATCAGAAAAAAACAAAAACAAACAAACAAAAGCTGGTAAAGAGAATGGTAGGGGATAGGTATTTGTAGCACAGATTGAGGATGTGGCAGGGACCCACTCTCTAACTATTCCTGCTCACAAAGTTGAAGGACCCAGAAGCAGAAGGTAGGCGCATTTAAACTGCTAGGTACAAAGCTGAACTTTTTTAAGGACTCACGCAAAAAAAACTCTTGAATTATATGCAACAAATTCGTACTTTCCGTACATTAAACATATAACATTAACACCAAGTGGCGCGTGGAATAATCTGAGATATGCAAGGAGGTTACAGAAACTGAGAGACCTGGAGAAATGAGTCCCACTCTATTCTCACTCATGATAGGTCCCACCTCTTCCTGTTCCCCTTTTTTTTTCCTCCTCCGTCTCCTGTTTCCTCATTTCTGTGCTGTGTGATTTTCTTTCCTAGTCTAATTCCAGCTTCACTTCTCTTCCTTCCAACTGATTTCCTGACTCCTTTTGATCAAATATGCCTTTCCCCTGAAGTTTCAGTTCTCCTCCCTGGAGCTTTGTCTCAAACCTTCACTCTGATGAACCCTTGTGAATTTGTCTTTAAGTCTTAGAGGAGATTTAGATGAAATTCAATTTGCTTAAGGAGCTCAAGTAAGAAATGCTGGACAATTCCCTCTTCAGACCCTGTCTACTGTGTAAGGTTTCCCACCTCCCCATGATTTTCTCTTGCCTCCAGAGCTCTCTCAAGGACCTTCATT